CTTGAGCCACAGCGCCACTTCCAGCTTTTTTCTTTTTTTTTTTCGATCGTGGGGCTTGAACTCTGGGCCTGGGCATTGTCCCTCAGTTTTTCAACTCTAGGCGAGCACTCTACCACTTGAGCTACAGCGCCACTAAGCTTTTTTCTTTTTGCTTATATGGTGCTGAGGAATCGAACCCAGGACCTCGAGCATGCAAGGCAAGCGCTCTACCACTGAGCCACCTTCCCAGCCCCAAATCAACTTTCTTTTTTTAACTGCATTTTTTTTTACTTTTCTTTTTTGGTGCTGGGGATCGAACCCAGGACGATACACTAGCTAGGTAAGCGCTTTGCCACTGAGCTAAATACCAGCCCTGAGGTTAATTCTTGGAAGCAGTAAGTGCAAGCTGAGCAAGTACTAGGCTTTGAGTTCAAACCCTGGTACCAGAAAAAAAAAATTTTTAAAGTAAAATGACTGATTCTTTCCACCTTTCTCTAAGACTTACCTTGGACTCAGAAGTCTTCAGAAGCTTCATCACCTCCCCTTCTCGGGCATAATCCATAGGAGTATGTCCCATTTCATTCCTCTGCACTGGGTTAGCTCCTGGCAGGAGAAGAAAGGCAAATGCTCAAGTGGTTCTATGAAGGATTTTAGCTTGAGGAGTATCCATATAAACTTAGGATATGGCAGAATGGCAGGAAAAATGTGTTAAACTACTCTCAAAGGAGGATTCTCAGCCCTGTGTGACAGAGGACAGGATAATGGGGACTTCTACACATGCACACATACTTCTCATGCAGAGACATGTTACACACATATAGATATGTTGCAATACTCAAATGCACACAACTGAACATGCCAACAAGAAAGCCAAACATATATCAAACACAAATTCATGTGTATATCTAACACATCTGCATACTGATGATTACTCATTGATTAAGCCATATACAAGGGTTCTTTTATATATACCAAAGATTATCCCAAATTGCAGGGAAAAGACCTTTGCTTTTCTGCCCTTTGGTGCTGTCTTTCCTTTCATGTTTTCTGTCTAGGAGTATTTCTTGCTATTGGAGGTCAGATGAGCCCTTGAGAAAGGGGTGTGAATCATAACAACCTGGCTCTACTGGTGTGTTTATGTGAGCAGAAACATGCTCTAACCTTTAGTTCCTATGACTACAGCACAGAGAACTTTGAGTATAAGGAAAAGAAGAGGTTAAAACAATTCTTTTGGCAAAGTACCAGAATACAAAATTAACATACAAAAATCAGTTGTTTTGTAGAGTACCAGTGGCTCATGCCTGTAATCCCTGCTACTCAGGAGGATCTGAGGATCATGACCCCAAGACAGCCCAGGCAATAAAGTCCCTGAGACTCTATCTGTAATTAATCACAAAAGTGGAACTGGAAGTAGAACTATAGCTCAAGTGGTAGAACCCTAACCTTGAGCAAAAAAGCTCAGAACTTTGCCCAGGCCCTGAGCTCAAGCCCTAGGGCCATATAAAACTAACAGCAGTTTTTCTATGTACCAAAAGTAAGCAGGCTGAGAAATCAAGAATGCAATCCAGTCACAAAAGAATCAAAAACAAAAAACAAATACCCCAGGAATAAACTTAGGAGGTAAAAAATGTCTACAATAAAAACTATAAAATACTGGAAAAAGAAACTGAAGATGGTTCCAGAAGATGGAAAGATTTCCCATGTTCACACAGAAACAATATTATGAAAATGGCAGTATTACAGAAAGCTATCTACAGATTTAAAGCAATCCCCACCAAATTCCAGAAAAATCAATCCTAAAATTCACACAGAAGACTTGAGACAGCAAAAGCCATCCTGAGGAAAAATGAGCAATGCTGGAGGAATCACAAAACTAGACTTCAAATTATACAACAGAGTCACAGTAACAAAAACATTATGGTAGTAGCACATGCGCACGCGCCGCGCGCAAACACGCACACGCACACACACGCACGCACGCACACACACACACATGCCCAAAACAATCTTCTTACTAAAAGCCTCTTTTTAAAAAATAAAACAAAACAAAACCCTGTGAACTTAATAAACTCCCATGGTATGAGAGGAGGGGAAAGAGGTACAGAGTAGGAAGTATAATTCAAAAGGTTTTCATATATGATCCTATTTTATTTTTTTATTTTTATTTATTTATTTTTTTGGGGGGGCCCAGTCGTGGGGCCTGAACTCTGGGCCTGGGCATTGTCCCTCAGCTCTTCAGCTCAAGGCTAGCACTCTACCACTTGAGCCACAGCGCCACTTCTGGCTTTTTACTTATGTGGTGCTGAGGAATCAAACCCAGGGCCTCGAGCATGCAAGGCAAGTGCTCTACCACTGAGCCAGCTTCCCAGCCCCTATAATCCTATTTTATTTTCTCTCTCTTCTTCCTTCCCTTCCCCACCTCCCATTCTGTGTGTACCACTGGTGTTTGAACTCAGCTCTTGCTCTAGTTGTCTTCCAAGACAAGTGGGTTCTTGAACCATGCCTCTAGTTCTGCCTTTTTGCTGTTTACCCAAGCTGACTTTGAACCTGGATCCCCAGATCTTAGCCTTCTGAGAGGCTAAGATAATGAGCATGAGCTACCTCTAACAAGCTATGATCCTATTTTCTATCAGGAATTAGTATAAAATATTAAAATATTACATACAAAAATTATCATTATGAAGATATTCATGGCTGGGAGCTGTCCCTTAGCTCTTCAGCTCCAGGCAAGCACTCTACCACTTGAGCCACAGCACTTCTGGTATTCTGGTGGTTAACTGGAGATAAGAGTCTCACGGACTTTCCAGTCTGGGTTGGCTGTGAATCGCAATCCTCAGATCTCAGCTTCCTGAGTAGCTAGGATTACAGGCATGAGCCACCAGCGTCCAGCAAAAAGTTATTTTTATTCTTGAAGTTTATGCTAGGAATTCAGCATATATAGACAGACAGAGCACATATAAATATAAATTTTTAAACTGCTGATAAGTTATAGAGTCTTTTAAGAATCCAGAAGCTCAATGGATGGGCGCTGGTGGCTCATACTTGTAATCTGAGCTACTGAGGCTGAGATCTGAGGATAACAGTTTGAAACCAGCCTGGTCAGGAAAGCACATGAGATTCTTTTTTTTTTTTTTTGACTATATATATATATATATTATTATTGTGAAACTACTGTACAGAGGGGTTACAATTACATGGGCAAGATAATGAGTACATTTCTTATCAAGCATTGTAGCCTCCTCCTTTGTTTCCCCTTCCCATAACACCCCCCCCCCCCAGTACATGAGATTCTTATCTCCAGTTAACCACCAAAAGAGCCAGAAGTGGAGCTGAAGTGCAGGAACAGTTCCCAGGCCTTGAATTCAAGCCCCAGGACTGGCATACACACATGCATGCTGTGTAAGTGCACACACACACACACACACACACACACACACACACACACACACACACAAATTCAGAGGCTCAGTTGGAGACTCATTCCTTCAAATCTTACTGGGTTACTGGACAGTTAATATCACAGGGCTCTCTGTATGTGGATGGGGACCAGCAAGGGCAATGAAGTTTTCATTTTTATATGTACTGACTACTCGGTGACAAATGATACTGTGGCTACTCTCTCCTTAGAGTTCTGTAAAACCATTTTTTGGGGGGGTCTCCTCTAGTCTTCTGTTACCACTGCTTTAGTCTCTTTTGCAGGCTCTTTCTTTCTTTAGGGTTAAAGTCTCCCTAGAGCTCGAGCAGAGCACAATGCCAGTTCTTCAGGAGCTAATGAGGACACAACCATGACACAGGCCAAGGATGATGAGTGTGCTGAAGGAGGGACAGACGGCTTTGTGTTTGGGGAGAGGGATGAGAAAGAATACAACACTCAGGGGCTTATTCATCTGGTATGGCCCTTGATAGCCCAAACCTACTTTGGGTGTTAGGCATTGTGGTTGGTGTGTAAGAGCAAAGAGGCCAGTGCCAAAGAGCACACTGCCTCCTCACAAAGCTCTTCAGCACAACTGGTGCAGAGGAAGCCATAAAGTAGTGAAAAGACTTCTCCTTTCTCAGGTAGCTTCAAGAAGAGCCTTGCTAGTAGATAGGTGCTATGTGAAAAGTGAGATTAGGGAGAGATTTCTGGAAGGGAAATAAAACACCAGAAAGAAGGGAGGAGAAATACACAAGAGGAGAGAAAAATGGGGGGTGAGGGGGAAGAAGGTGAGAGAAGTTGACGGGGAAAAACGAACGGAGGGTGAGATTAGCTGCTTCAAACAAGTGCTGTCAGTGATCTATATTTGCTTACAGAATGAAAAATGTGTGCTATAAACATTGGCCACTGAGTAATTTCTAGCAGGAGTCATGTCACTTCTCATAAAGGATGGGATGGGGACAGGTAGGACATCTCTGCACCTGGGCCAGCCAGAGTAGGGGCTTCCTTTTATAGCAGTGCTGGGCCTCGGTCCAGCCCAAGAGGCTCTCAGGTCAGATGGCTCACAGGGTGAAGTTGGCTGGGGGTCTCCAAGGTTCTGTAGCCCCGGGGCAGCGGTCTGCCCCCACTTAAGGATGGCTGAGGCAGGGGCACCATGGATAATGTCCATCCAATATTACTCCCCCACCCCAACACCCTTACTGTGACTTGACTAATTGCTGTAATAATTGATAGAACCTGACTTCTACCACTGATCGATTTCACCTTCAGGACCAACGGCCACAAACCATTACACTCCAATAAATAACCACGTTGGGCCTCACCCGGCTGCCCTCTCCAGGGGCATCAGGATGGCCCATGCCCTAGACTGACCTCCCTTTGCCTCCCACCCAGGGCCTCTTCGGGCCAAGCAGCTGGTCGAGAGGGCCAGGCCTCTGGGACAAGTGAGAGGGCTGGACGGAGGTTGGGAGAGCTAATCGCAGGCCATCCGTCACCTCCCACTGGCTGTCTGGGGCCAGGGCAAACACCTGGAGCACCCCAGGCAGTGTGGTACAGGACCCCTCCCTCCTCTCCTCCTTCAGATTAGTTGTCCCAGCTTATAATATTTGATAAATAGCAGCCTGGCTTCCTGGCAGCACTGCTGCGGCTGCGCCTGCCTGCTACAGCTGTGGAAGGTCACTCATTGGGGAAATATGTTTCTGTCAGTGGTATTGAAAAAAGTTTAGTGGAGTGACAGGCCTCAATTTTTCAAATTTTATTAACTCCATCCTCTTAACCATTTGTCTTGAATTCCTTCAGATTCTGGGGGATCTGTCAATAGGGATCGGCCAGAAAAGTAGGACAGGGTTGGGTGGTCATGAGGCTAAGGCTGGTTGGTGCCACTGTGGCTGGCTGGAATCTCACTCATAGTGGGAAGGGTGCTGGTGAGAGGGCCTGGCCCACTGGAGCCTGGGGAGCCCACTGCTCTTCTCTGGTACAGTGCTTGCCTTTGATTTGAGACAATTATTTGTGCTCCAAATGGAAAAGTCCTTAAAGGTGAGCTCTTCAATGTGTACTGTGTAAAAATGAAACTATGTAACTTGAGGGGAAAGAAGGGGAGAATGATGGAAGGAGTGACCATTGACTAAGATGCACCACACTCATAACTTGACTTCTGGAATTGAAACCCCTTTGCACAACTACTTAATAA